TGTGGCACGTGCAGGCATGCAACACACACGCGCACGCACACACGTGCACACAACCACACCACACACACACACACCACACACACATTGCAAGATTTACCTTGTCTCTCGACGTAAGAAACCTGGGATCATCGCTAAAAGCATCATTCGTCAATTGACTAAACCTTGTGCAATTTTTTTTGTTTCCACTAACGAGCTGAACAAAATTGGACATGGTAGGCCGGCTTTTTTTAATCAAATTTTTTAAAATATTTTATTCTAACAATACTTGTTTTATACTTATAACAGTCCATATGACTTCAAAGTCAAATCAATGCATTAACCGATCGATATCACGTTGGGATTTTTTAATTAAAAAAAAATTTTTTTAATACAATATTTTTTGGCCAATCACAATAAAAAGTTAGACACCCCCGGTTTAAAATGCGCATACATGCATGCACACACACGTGCACGTGCACGCGCATGCACACACACGCGCACGCACACACGTGCACACACACACACACACACACACACACACACACACACACACACACATTGCAAGATTTTACCTTGTCTCTCGACGTAAGAAACCTGGGATCATCGCTAAAAGCATCACTCGCCAATTGACTAAACCTTGTGAATAGGTCAAGTAGCTGTTCTACATATTTCTCCGAATCCTATAAAGCAAAGAAATACCACTGTTGTAACGAATGTGAAGTTGCAAGATATATCATTGGCAATTGAATCTCGTATTCTCACAACTGATAATAAAGTAACCCCAGTTCGAAATAGTTAAACAAGTGCCGCGGAGCGACAGCGCTCATCTAACGTCTACTGCGGTGACCTCTGTGGTTGGACGTGGTGAGATTCTAGTAAACCCTGTTATGTCCCAAATGTGTTCACATACACGCCTAAACAGTGGAATGCACAAGGGATGGTATCAGGAACCTTCTCAAAGGAATGTTCGTTGGGATCGTTATGAAAGTTGCCACGAGATGGCGGCGTACGTTTAAGTTGTCTTCAGATAATAGGATGGAAGCTCTCATCGTACGTAGTAGCAACAACTATTTGCAAAACAGAGTAGGTAAGCACTCATCCATTTTACCTACGCAAAGCCTACAGGCTGCAAATTGCAATAGAGAGCTGCCACCTGTAAACCAATTAACGCAGGCAAAAACTACACAGTACATATCACCAACACATGCACTGGCAGTAGCCACTGCAGTGGCATACGTTACATGTAATCATACTGACAGTACAGAATGCCATAAGAAATTATACGATTTAAGGAGCATAAACCTTCTTCAAGCAAATTTAGCCTTTGAAATTTCAGTGTGACATTGTAGCCTCAGTACATCCCAGGCATGTATAGATTCTACTAGGCAACCCAGCAGTCCAATTCTTTCTAACACAGTAACAGTTAACAAATCCATGTTTAAATCCCTCCTCTTGAGGGGTCAAAGGTTATCAGACACTTACATGCTTCGCACGTCAGTGGAAGCACATTTCATGGTCCTTTCAATAAAGCCATAAAAATGCTAGGTCAACCGCTGAAACAAAAAAGTTTTCCAATCGCTCGTCACACCATGTCCTCAGAAATGTCTAAACATCTGCCCTGTGCCATTGACCTTGTGACCTCCAATTTCGCACATGATGGCTTTCTACCATTGAGTGATGCTACACCGACTATCACAGCCTAGGGTCGAGCCGTTGTTAATTTGTGCCGCAATTCTTGCATTTCCGTCCCTATACCTTAAGTTAAGGAGTGAATGTTCCCCCTTCTTTTTACACCTCTTGACCTTTGAGAGCTTTTGAGCGCTGCAGTGCGTTGCGACGATCCAACTCGTTTTCGGGATTACCCCCCACGTCCCGAATATCTTGACCGTACGTCGAGCGGTTAAGATTTGTGCGCCAACTGTTGACGCGGACGGACGCTCGGACGGACGACGACGGACGATCATGCGGGATTCTACAAGCTGCATCTGACTATGTGCAGATGAGCTTAAAAAAAGCAAGCAATCACGTCATTGTCACATTTGCTTTTAGTCCAGTAAGTTAAGTGGCATTGCCTTTATGGCCTAAACAAAATTTTTGTTTTGTTTTCCACTAACGAGGCTGAAACAAGAATTGGACATGGTAGGCCGGCTTTTTTTTTAATCAAATTTTTTTAAATATTTTATTCTTAGACAATACTTGTTATACTTATAACAGTCCATATGACTTTCAAAGTCAATCAATGCATTAACGATCGATATCAGCGTTGGGCGATTTTGTAATTAAAAAAAAATTTTTTTTAATAGCAAGTATTTTTTGGCCAATCACAATAAAAAGTTTAAGACACCCCGGTAAAGGAGGACGGTCGGTGCCCGTTAGCAGGAAACAAACGTGCTTTTTTAAGGCCTAATGCAAATGTCATTTTCACATACTGAGGTTATCGAATTTGCTTGCCGGAAGTCATATCAGCCAGTCCCTGGCTGACTAATGTGTTCTTTCGAGGTCTTCCAGCATAGGTGTCGCGACATCCCATCTGGTACCCTAATCCATTAGCTAAAACATTAAGCTGTAATCCTGAAATAACATGGGGAAAAAGTTTAAAGGTCGGCCATGCTTAATTGCAAGTGTATGAACAAACGACTATGACACTGTTATTAGGAGGTGTCGCTATTTTCTGTTGCATTAAGCTTGATATGGCCCTAGTCCATGTTAGTGAAGAAAAACTTGTCATCCGATTAAGAGAATCGCAGTAAACATATTTTCACTTGTAGCGTAATACAAGAATCGCATGTGAAATACCGCACGTTTGCTTACCAACTTACTGGTAAAACTATATGGCAGTTAACTCTGTATACAATGTTGTAAACATACTTTTCTGAAAATAATCTTTGGTTTTTAGCCAGTACAATGTCACTTATCCCTGTCAGTTTCATTCCCTTTAATCATCTCTGGGGCACCACTCTGCTTAGGATTGGCGCTCTTTGGAATTCTGGTCACAAGTACGTTGACACTGGAACACCTGTTCAACTGTAAGATGGAAGACACAAATATACGAATAACACAAGGTATGCACCTAATGTGATGCAAATAATGTGTCCAAATATCTCTTAAGTCTTATGCTAATGTTGTGGGTTAAACAGTGGGATCACGATTGCTTTGTCCTTACGCGACAGATAGTAAGACTTGTCTAAATTTTTAGTGTTTGCTAAGATTACCTTGGATATGTTTCCCTTATCATAGGTTGAACATGCTTAAATAATAAAACAAGTTAAAATAAAGCAGTAATTACGCCAGCAAACAGACGTTACACTCCGTGCGTGTTTCCAAATATTTTCATATGCCCTGCCTGCTCTTCCTCCTTCAGGTGCCAAGTCTATAAAAATACAATGATTTGTCTATAGATGGCCACCGCCATCATAACAAATGTTGCACAATCGAGCGATTGACAAAACTATCAAACCATATACGACAGTGGAAGGCATGGTAAGTCTCTGACAAAGCATACACTGTTTCTTGGCAGGCAGCATACAGTGAAAGATTCTAGATTCTGATAATGTTTCCAGCAACGAACCTTTTGGCACAGAAACGTGACTACGTAAAAGGTATGATAAATAAAAGTACGCAAGCCGCATCGCCATGTAGTCTGAACTCCCAATCGCCCCTGTTTGAATTTCATCCTGGGGAGAACCCTGCACAGTGCCTCGCAATACCGCAAATTTAGGCCGTTGATAAGCCAGTCATTTATTTGCACTACTGTTACATTGCAGTTGGATAGATAGTTTCAGGCAGCATTTAAATTTACTTCTATAATAACAACCAATAGCAAGAACAAGTTGCAGGCCACACCTTCATTTGAATGTTATTATGAAATATTGTTTTTCTTAGGATGATGTTGATATGTACATGAAGCAGCCTGAGAATGAGACGGCAGATATTGCACTTCAAAAGTTGGATGAACAACACAAGAAATACAAGTTTATGGAGGTTAATCTAATGCAGAAAAAGAAGAGGTATATACATATGTTAAATATGTTACAGTGTATGCTTCTGTTATGCCAATTCTGTGAAAGTATATTGAAACTGTGAAGCGTAAGACATTTATGGGTGCAGTGGCTAAATTATATTTTTCTCCTACAGGTTGAAGCAGCAAGTACCCGACATAAAACAAACTCTAGATATCTTGCGGCATGTCAAGAAGAAAAAGGTAATTTTTGACGTGGGTTATAGTGAGAGTTTGAGCGAATGATCCCTTTATTACTGGTCAAGACAATCTCCACAAAAGTAGACAACAAATATGTATTTGTGGAAAGAACACGTATTTGTGTGAGTATATTCCATTTCATTCTATCGTTTCCTCAAGGAATCAGAAGAGTCGCTTAGTACAAGATTTCTACTTGCCGACCAGCTCTACTGTCAAGCAGATGTCCCACCTACAGATAGAGTATGCTTGTGGCTAGGAGTAAGTGTATGATAGCACATATTATGTATGTAGTATAGCAAACCTGTTTGTGGTATGGCCAATCACTTATACTAAGTAAGTATAAGAGTTGAAAAGAGCACTGGTTAGTTCATTTGAAAATATACAAACATTCTTTTAAATGCAGAAACGTCCCGATTATCACCAAGCTAGTGAGTTGCAAATGCATGCTATCAAGAGCAGATAAAGAAGGAGAGCGTACAAGGGTAAAATGCTGAAACCATGCTGCAGTATTAGTCGAATTAATAAACTTTTCCCGTTTTATTATCGTTTTCGGATTACCCCCCCACGTCCCGAATATCTTGACCGTACGTCGAGCGGTTAAGATTTGTGCCCAACTGTTGACGGACGGACGCTCGGACGGACGGACGGACGGACGATCATGCGATTCTACAAGCTGCATCTGACTATGTCAGATGAGCTAAAAAAGCAAGCATCACGTCATTCACATTTGCTTTTAGTCCATAAAGTTAATGTGCATTGCTTTATGGCCTAACAAAAATTTTTGTTTTGTTTCCACTAACGAGCTGAACAAAATTGGACATGGTAGGCCGGCTTTTTTTAATCAAATTTTTTTAAATATTTTATTCTAACAATACTTGTTTTATACTTATAACAGTCCATATGACTTCAAAGTCAAATCAATGCATTAACCGATCGATATCACGTTGGGATTTTGTAATTAAAAAAAAAAATTTTTAATACAATATTTTTTGGCCAATCACAATAAAAAGTTTAGACACCCCGGTTTAAAATGGAGTCGGTCGGGTTAGCGGAAACAAACGTCTTTTTTTAAGGCCTAATGCAAATGTCATTTTCACATACTGAGGTTATGAATTCTGCTGCGGAGTTCATATCAGCCAGTCCCTGGCTGACAATGTGTTCTTCGAGGTCCTTCAGCATGGGTGCGATCCCATCTGGTACCCTATCCATTAGCTTAAACATTAGCTGTAATCCTGAAATAACATGGGAAAAAGTTAAAGGTTCGGCCATGCTAATTGCAAGTGTATGACAACCTATGACACTGTTATTGGAGGTGTCGCTATATTTCTGTTGCATTAGCTTGATATGGCCTTAGTCATGTTAGTGAGAAAAACCTTGTCATCCGATTAAGAGAATCCAGTAAACATATTTTCAACTTGTACGTAATACAGAATCGATGTGAAATACCACGTTCTTACCACTTATGTAAACTATTGGAGTTAACCTGTATACATGTTTAAACATACTTTCTGAAAAAATCTTTGGTTTTTAGCCAGTAAATGTCACTTACTGTCAGTTTCATTCCCTTTAATCATCTCTGCACACTCTGCTAGGATCTGCTCTTTGAATTCTGTCACAAGTACGTTGACACAACACTCTGTCAACTGTAATGAAGACACAAATATACGATAACACAAGTATGCACCTAATGTGATGGCAAATATGTGTCCAAATATCTCTAAGTCTTATGCTAATGTTGTGGTTTAAACAGTGGATCGACGATTGCTTTGTCTTACCGACATTAGTAAACTTTCTAATATTTTTAGTTTTGCTAAATTACCTTGGTATGTTTCCCTTATCATGGTTAACATGCTAATAATAAAACAAGTAAAATTAACAGTATTACCGCAGCAACAGACGTACATCCCGGTCGTGTTTCCAAATATTTCATTGCCCTCTGCTCTTCCTCCTTCAGTGCCAAGTCTATATAAAATACAATGACTTTGTCTATAGATGGCACCGCCATCATAACAAAGTTGACAATCGAGCGATGACAACATCAACCAATACGACATGGAAGTATGTAAGTCTGACAAGATACACTGTTTCTGGCAGGCACATACAGTGAAAGATTCTAGATTCTGATAATGTTCAGCAACGAACCTTTTGCACAGAACGTGACTACGTAAGGTATGATAAATAAAGTACCAGCCCATCGCATGTAGTTCTGAACTCCATTAGCTTGAAGGTATAAAGGTGCCTTAGCCTTATAGAATGCCTCTGTTGCATCCATATACGATTTCTCAAAGTTCTCCTTGTAAATTTTTAGCTTATCTTCTGGGTCTGAACAAAGATTCACTGGAAGAACAAATACTTTTTAAGTTAGTTTATTGTTAGGCTTGAAATGTGTTTAGCAACTCATCTAATTCAGGCATTAAAATATTAGTACAAATTTAAATGTAAAAATCAACTAAAAAGAGTACATTGTAATATGGAGTTATAATCTTTAATAATTACAACATATGTAATCACAACAAATTTAATCAAAAAATTGCTCTCCGCTTTCAAGTTGTACGTTTTGATACTTTGCTTGGGAGAAACATTACAGGAATGTTAGTGTGGAAACTTTCAATTTAGAAAAATTCTGTATGCTACAATTTTACCATTATAATGAGCACCAGTACGAATCTGTGTGTCGGCATGAACAGGCATAGTTCGTCAGCACACTTACCGTAAGATTCTCTCACCCCTATAACAAGCTGGCTGTCAAAGGCCTCCCCGTTCCTTTCAGCATGCACTAATTTCATTGCACTATCTTGCAATCTTTGCTTGATTGCAGAGAAGATACTCTCATTCCAACTGTCAAGCATAAGCTGCAAGCATGTGTGTAAGAACATCATATGATTTTTAAGATATCACGACTTCATGTGAAAATAGAGTAATACACTTGTGTTGCTCTTCTACATGAGAATATTTGCAGTTTCTTGCATTCATGGTAACCTTGAACATCATTCTAAAACAATCACTCAATCTACAAATAGATACACGCACACATATATTATCTTCATATATTTTGACGTTTGAAAGATATACACTTGCATTACGATCACCGAGTCTGACCTTTCTAACTATGCTTTCGTCGTTTTGATTTTTCTTCGATTGTGAACTGGGAGATGCCTTGTTGGTGAGTGTTGTCTCCAGTTGGCCAAAGGGCAATGGTAGATATGTGCACTGAGTGAAGAATTTCTTCCACTCAGCGATGTAAGCCTTCAGGAGCGCAGAATCTTCTTGGTGATCGAGCACTCTCTGTGTGCGTCGAGAAAACAAGACACCAATCCGAAATGACATATCAGAATTGATGTTTAAAACACTCTACTATGATATGATGTGTGACAGCAACATCAAAACAAGTATAAAGTGATTTTTCAAGTCAGTTACAAGCAAGTGCTTAATGTGCAATAGAATGTAGATGGATTTTGTGTAGACTAATTGGTCTACTAATTGGGATTCTGCTATTATATAACGTAGATGGAAATGTGTCATTTTCGCCCATATTGATTATTTAAAACTACGTAGATTATCTGCAACGTTACTCGGCCATATTTAAGCAAATATTTCTTCCATTTATTCGTCCTCTCAGCTTATGAATAGTGAGTGATGAGTAATACCTTCTGAGCTTGTTCTATGAAGTCTAGTATATCCGTACGTAGTGCTTCGTGAACTCTTGGAGGTCCATTTCGGTCGTCCCACAAACAAACCAAGTGGACATTCCTTATAAGGGTAAAATAATAAATCAAATAAATTTGCATTTAATCATGTTTAGGTAACCATGCTTCATCATACAGAAAACGTTAGCTTACCAGGTTGAATATACCAGAGTATAGTAAGATATGGCAGGAAAGCAAGCTTCTCCACATACACAGGTACTGCTCCCAGAATATGAAGAAAATGGATGGTAATAGGTTATCCTTACCTACCAATTATTTTAAATGGACCTGACACCATTTACGCATTACACATTTCCTCTGTATGCAGTGCTGTTTTCCACATCCCAAATCAGTGCATCACATGAGATTCAGCACACTGAGAGCTCAATGTCATAGAGATTAACAGGTCCACCTTTCACATCGAAGCTTGTGAGTTTAAATGTTTAAACCTCACCCAGGGGAGTGAATTTTCTCAAGGTGTAAAAATCATGCTAACCACATTTGGGACTGTGAATTACTTGCAACTCGGACGACCATGTAGAATATCGGACCCGTTCCCAGTAATAGGAATGACGAATAACCACCGAGGATATAAAACACTCTGGCAGTGACCACCCTCAGTGTCTGTAAAATGATCGACCTGGTGTGCTGCTCTAGGGCTAACTAGTGAATGAGATCTTCACCTCATCTGGTTAGCTGCACACAGATACACAGTACTTCTCATTCCCTGTATTGAACACAGAGAAGTCTAGAAACAACAACACTACATGCACGTCAACTTGATACTTACATAAACAACTCTTGCCATTCTGATCTGCTCACAGAGTCTTGTCTCAACAGCTTTAACACACATGGTCTCATCTTTGGCCATTTTTCCTCGAACTGCCATTCGTCCTTTTTCTACAAAATTTAATTATCGTTACACAAGGTAATAATATCTGGGTATATTCGCACGATATTTTCTTGCAAATCTCAGCAAAATGCAGAATGACATATTGCTGACGCGTTCACATTTGTGTGTGCACGACTGTTCGCGTGACACAGCTTGGTTACGAACACAGACAGTATGTATTTATAACAAGTGAACACTGCCCTTCAAATAGAAACAAAGATGGAGTAAAATGGTTGAATATTTGTGTTGTATTCGTGTGAAATCAAGCGAGCGTCAAGCAAATTTTGGCAGCACACTTTCCTACCTGCCAGGCCTCGAATTAAGTGACGAGAGGGGCAAGGCAATTTTCTGGGGGCATGTGAGAAATTGCCTTGAATTTTCTCTAAAATGGATGGGCACCGAGGCAATTTTAAAATGCATCAAGGCAACTCTCACAATTTGAGAAGGGCACCAAGGCACTTTTGTAAAATAAAGGAAAACTCATAACAAATTAATACATCAACCTCTGCTAATGGAAGTACAGTAACAGGGTTCAACGTTAACTTTTTATTTCACTAGACCATCGGGCTAGTAACTGAGGAAAACCACTAGCCCTGACCTAACTTTCACTAGACCATCGGGCTAGTAACTGAGGAAAACCACTAGCCCTGACCTAACTTTCACTAGCCCAGACCCAGACCATTATTATGAAAAACTTTGTGCCATCGTATGAATTCTACTAAAATTTCTCTAAATCTACTGCACTTAGCAAGCTACACACCATACACATCACAGCTGGCCATTCTTGCGCGAGCGTCGTTTTCTGCGCTTTAAATCGCGTGCGGGCCGAGTCCACGTGCAGCATTTAAATATTCGTGTTCTACCACGTGCATACACAGGCGCACGATTTATCGATCGTCTACTGGCAGCGGTTGGCAGCAAGCCACGTTTACGGTTATTGTTTTTGTCGAAGGGTAGACTGGAATCCGGCCTCCCGCTTTGCTAGACAATGTACACGCTCTGCGACAAACAGTGCGGTCGCGAACCAGTCTAGCCAGAGGCACCGACGGCAATTACAGAAAAGGGCAAGGCAGGTGACTGCCGTCGGTCGGGTTGGATTTTCAGGGGCAGTACGGCGATTGATAGGGGCACCGACGGCAATTGCCGTCGGTGTCGTCGGTTAATTCGAGCCCTGCTACCTGCTATATATTTATGTGTCAGTGTGCAGCGGTTGAAGAGTAGGTGAAAGAGAGTATAGAAACATTAAGACTTTGGTAGTAAATAGATTTCGTATTTATTTAGCATTATAATATTCGCAGTGGCTGGAAGTACATTAGCCATCGGTCATTGTAGCCCCTTTTTGGCGTTAGGGTTAGGGTTAGGGTTAGGTTTATGGTTAGGGTTAGAATTAGGATTAGGGTTAGGGTTAGGTTTATGGTTAGGGATAGGTTTAGGGTTCTAGCTCATCTAAACTCTCAAATCGTGAATTTATTTCCCCAAGGCGTTATTTCGAAATCTGGCGCCATCGCCGCCATCTTTGTCTCGTTAAGTATGAAAGCGAATGGACTCCCGTACCCGTAGCCTCGAGACATTAAGATACAGCTACCGTACCCGTAGCCACTGCCTATAATATTATATTTTATTGAAATGCTCAAAGTGCCTGTACCAAGCAAAACAAACATTCAACATAAAACTAAAAGGTATCTCCACACAACGTCACAAGCACACCCGAGTATGTAGACACCATGCTGAATTAGACCCTCCTAAAAAAGAAAAAAAGCTTAGGGGCCTACCTACCTACCCAAACTTTTCAGCCTGGGTCGGGTGAGGGCAAACAAAGATTTTTTTAATTGTGGCCTGAGGTTATGGGATGAGAGCGACGGTGCCTGTGTAGCATATTAAAGGAACAGTAGCCTCTAGGTTCTAGGCTTATTTTTAGCTAATTTAGGTTATAATTGCGCTACATAAAAAGCTTCATGGTTCAATCACCATTAGAAATATTTAAAAAAAATGTTTTAAAACAAACGACTACAGTTTGATTACAACGACGGTGGCGCCACTCAAAGCGCACGATCTAAGAAGTTGCGCAAAAGCACTTTCCAGCGAAGGGCTACAGACCGAGGGTATTTCTTATTTATTCATTTAAAAGCAAAAGGATTGTAATATCTTATAAACGACATATAGTTTCAGTTATAATATGGATAAATTTGCCCTAAAATGAATATCGTTC